ATGTGAGGGAAATGTTGTCCCTGGTGCAGGTATTAGCTGCAAATGCCTGAAAGGTTAGTGCTGTTTGTTTTGCACAGATAAACAAAGGGAAACAATGTCAGAGGCCAAAGAAGTAACTCAATTGATTCCCAAAATCATGAAGAACAAAGGGAATGGTGACAAATCGGATAACATTACCTATGCTGAGAATGCATTTCAAAAGAGAGAAGAGAATTGCCTTTCTGATCGCTATGTAGTTGCTGAAGATACATAAGCTAATGGAAATTAGCTACATTGCATATTCTGTTTTCTTTTTCTTTAGCTCCTTTTTTTTTCCTTTCCCATATTCTTACTGCACCATGAAGAAGAAACAGAAGGAAACCACAGGATTACTAGATAGACTAACATTGTTAAACTTGTTCACAGATGTAGCATCAACATCTGAAATATCATTATGGTCAGTTGTGCATATGACAGTGTCTCTGGACCATAAATTCTCCAATGTTGGAGTATGAATGGCCTGAACCTGGGTGTTCCTGCTTTGCAGACTGGCTTCTCTTTTGAGTGTACACTGAAGAGGCAGCTCTGACTGAAGCATGAGTATAGGGTGGAAAAGTGATCTGCATGGCACGTAAGGCATAGCTGCATTGATCTGCCTTGATTCAGGCAACATCCGTAAGAGTTCTTTCTCCTGCCTTATCTCCTTAGCTCTCTCCAACTGTCTGAACGTTTCTTGCAGGAGAGCAATGGATGGATGAACGATTGCTGGATCAATCTGTCTATCTTCACTCATTGGAAGATGAAGAGGAACCTCAATGGGATTGATTCAAGCACTCTTTAATGAGACCTCATACGCATATGCACATATATATAGGACATAGCTAAGACTTAAGATGATTATTTTAATTCATTCATTCTGGCTATTTGATTCTGTATGACTAAAAGTTGGAAAACAAAGGCAGTTGAACTGCAATGTGTAACAAGGCAGAGATATGTGGCCATGCGAATGGGTGAAAGTACGTCCAGGGAAGAAAATGGTCAGAAGCAAAATCTGAAGAGATGTGGAAGGTAGCATTTGGAAGTGTTTCTTTAAGGAGAATAAAAGATTGGGTGCGTTGTGTGTCGGCTTGTCGTAGAAGGCTGCTGGTATGCCTTTGGAGTCTTTTTGGTGGGGGATTTGGTCGGACCATCCCATTATATTTAGCTTTGAACATTCTCTTTTTTCATTTGTGGACAACACAAAGCTTGAACACTGTGAACTCAATTCGGACTCTGATGTTTTTATCAAAGAAAATCCTTTTATGAATAGGAGAGAAAAGAAGAATCAACCAAAGCCAAGCCCCTCTTTCTCTCTGTACATGTTCTGTTTTGTCTTGAAGCTTTTGGATGGAAATGGCATGGAAGATGAAAGTTGAGATATTAGATTGGATCTGTGGTTGTTGGGGGACTGAAATTTGAAAAGCAACGTATATCCTAAAGCTAGAGTAGAGGTCTTATTACCCCAAACAAAAAAATAGAACTCGCATGGATTTAAAACAGGTGTCATTTATTGAATTTATTGTATGATCTCATCAAATCACATTTTAATTCACATGTTAACATATATAATTAAGTATAGAAAATAATTTGAGAAAATAACTCTTAAAATGATAATAAAATTTTTTTGATATATCTAGTTTAAAAGAATTTTTCTCTTATATTTATTTTTACAATCAAGTCTTAATAAAAGAAAATGGATTAAAAAATTTGAATTTTTTCTTTGAAAAGTAGTTGTTCAATTATAGTAGTATAAAAGATGGTCTTAAAAAAAAAGTTAGATTAAATTATATTAAATTGTAAAATAAAACAATGATCATTAAATAGAAAAGACCTCAATTATCATAGTCTAATACAGTTCGGATTACATTTTTCCTCAAAACTGTAAAAATGCTGCAATTTATAAAATTAATTTTACATTGATGGCTGCCACCAAAAATTAAATAAAATAAATAAACATTGACGGCTCAAAATAAGAAACCGAAAACCGTTCATACAAACCTAACCCTTTGGCCCAAAAAACAAAAAGCCCAACCCAAAGTCCCCAACGTTCGGCCTCTTCCCGCCGGCTACATCTCTGCCAGTGTAGTCTTCTACCGGCTTTCATCGGAATTACTTGCTACGCCCTCAGACCTTCAATTCGTTAAGCTGGACAAAGCGCTTTCAGACGAGGACTGTATCGATTAGAGAGTTGCATTCTTCTTCTTGTACAGGGTTCGCTTCTAGGACGAGTGCAGCTCATTGACCGCCACAGACCGTCTTTCCGGCAACTGATAGTAAGGAACTTTCTTTTGATATTTTTATTTATGGGTTTTAGTTCTTGACAATTGGGTGTTGTTTAATTATGTATGGAAAATGCAATTTCTTTGTTTGAAAAAAAAAATTATGGAGTCCTCTGTCCTCTGTTTCAAGTCTGAGCCTTTGCTCTCTTTGCTGCTACCCTTAGGTTCTTTGATTTATGTTTGTAGAGATAAGGATTTTGTCAAACTTAGTTATTGGTTTTTGGATTCTTGCTTTGCCTTCAATTTTTTGGTGTTTAGGGAATTGATACTTTTTGGAAGAAAATGGATATTTTCAAAGTTATTGGGGGTATATCATAGATGGACAAATAATACAGTTTCCAGTACCACTGACTAGTTTATGACTCGGTTTTGATTTCGATCACTTAATTTGAATAATTTTGATTGCAATCCAGGGATGGAGGAGGGCTGCTGAGGGGATTGGGTGTTAGATTTATGACATTTGGTGTAAAGATGTCAATGAACCAACAGCTTCCTTGTCTAGTACAATGATTTTGTACGCCTTGTTTTCACTATTTATCCATTTGAGTTTCTTCCTTTAATTTGTTCAACATAACTTGTTCACTTTTCATGGACCTCATAGTTTCTTCAATTCTAAAGACCTAATTGCCAATTGCAGCTTTTGCATTCTTGAATGTTGTTTTACATTTAAACTAATATTTTGCACTTGAACCTGTCCTCTAGCATGATCTGCCCGGTAAACTTCTTTCTGTCTGCTCAGCACAATATTCACATCATCACTCTTTTTCAAGTTGGTTTTGATTTGTGTGTTCTATGACTTCCTTTCTTGTTTGGTTATTTAACTGGACCAGTGGATGATTCCTAAAACACTTTTCTAAGAGAATGATAAGCTTACTCCATTAATCCAAAATTCCCCATGTGGGGCTATACACGAGGCTTTCATCCGTCCAGTTTCAGGTTTACAGAGAATTAATGACAAAGCATTAATGTCAACTCAACTAAGTAGCTAAGAGACTAACTGAAACTAAGTGCAGAATTGTAACTTTACTCTCATTTTTTAAAACTTTTCCCTTTTTTTCTTGCCATATGAAGTAAACCGCAAGGATTGTGGGGGGAGGGAATTTCCCAAGTCAATAGGAGATCTAAAGTCATTACGTTCTTTAGTTCTCTTTAGCTACAACTTGAGATGTTCCATTCCAGCTTCAATAGGGAAGTTGTCTAAGCTTACTCTTGTAAACTTCCGACATAACAATTTTTGGAGTCAAATCCCATCACCACTTACAAACCTCACGCAACTTAACCTTCTTGATCATTCAAATAATCAGTCTTTTGGTCCCATTCCTTTTCTAGGGAGTACGTTTTCGATACTATCCCATCTAGACCTATCGCATAACTAACTTAATGGATCAATGCCACCTTGAGTTTTCAGTCAATAATTTGAGTGGTTCTGTAAAGTTTTGATGTGTTCTCAAAGCTTCAAAGTCTTGAATCCGTCATTCTTTCAAACAACAATCTGTCTTTGAGAATCAATGTTGATGCTGACTTCACATTTCCCAAACTAAAACATTTGATTTTGTCTATGTTCATGTTGTAGTTAACTGTAACTTTGACGCAAAGCAAAAGAAATGATTTTCAGTTTTACAAAGAAAAAAAATTTAACCAACAACTTGTGAGTTCGAGTGGAAGGAGATCGATTTCCCTTAAATAAGATCTCGAACTCAAGTCTTATGAATGAAAAAACAAGTGTTGGGAGAGTTTCTCTCATATGGGGTCTGACCCGACTCAATTCTGATTAGTCAAGACCCAATGTGGTTTCTGAACACTAGAAGGTTAATACTAAAAAAAAAAAATTTATCATATATAAAAGGTAAAATTGCATACACACTCTTTTGTGGTTTGTTATAGCTACATTCTCCCCCTCCAAGGATAAACATATTTTGCACCATAACATAAAAGGGGTTCATGTTTTTTAGAGTTGATTGTACACAGAAATAATGGTTTATCTTCTAAATTTATTTAAATATTTTTAACAAAATAATATAAAAATAATTTTATTAAAGATATTTTAGTAAACTTATATGGTAATTGTATTTTTAATGTATAATTTACCCTAAAAAATACTCTTTTGAAGATAAAATCAAAATTGAAAACTAAAAACTTGTCTCATTAGTGTTGAGAGCATTTAGGTCAACTACGAAACCTTTGCTTCTTCGATGCAAATTATAAAAAGAGTTATCGTACGTGTCTTACTAACTTTTATAACTTGGGGAGTTATGTGCATACAAATCAAAACCAGAAGGCGGTAGATGCAAATTTGGTTAAAATAATAATAATAATAAAATAAATAAAATAAAATGAAATAAAATCCGATAAAGGAGGACGACGGCTCTTGTATTGGGGACTGATATTGACTGGTGTCTGTGGTGGTGGTGGTGGTGGTGGTGGTGGTGGTGGTGGTGGGGTTAGGTCAGAGTTGATACTTCTTCATGTCAAATTGCTATTCCTCCTCCTCCGATCTCTTCGAATCTCACCCTGCATTGCTCTTCGCTTTAGATCTGCGTTACCCCGCGGGTAATGTGGTGAGGTGAGCGTCTTCCGGCGACAATGGACAATATCGCTCTCGGAGAATATCTCGACATAACCCTGCGCATCATCTTTAATACTCTCTTCTGTGTTTTCCCTTAAAATGCTGTTTGATTCGTCGAATTATGTGCAATAATTTCAGAAAAATTAATTTACCAAATTTAGGTTCTTCAAAAGCTACAAATTTTTAGTTTCAGCTTGTACCCATCTACAGGCTGAAATCAGCTGGCCTGAGAAGCAGTTTTAAGAATACTGTGCTTCGCTTCCTGTAGAAAGTCTAAAATGATTTGCCATAAATTTTTTCTCTTTTTTATTTGGAGCAGTGGCCTCATTTGAAGGAACTGCTTCAGTGCTACACAAGTGACTGGGTGAAAGATGAGAGCAAGTATGGGCATTATGAATGTGTCAGTCCTCCTCACTTTCACAATCAAATATTTAAGGGGCAGGATACTGATATCCAGACTGGTAAAAGTTTTCTTCATCTGCTTTTGATTTGATTTGATTCCAAGAGCATTGACATTTTGTTAACCGTTTAATCTATTTTTCATGTCAAATTTCTGCAGAAATGAGCCTTGCAAATGCAAAGGCGAACCAAGGGTGAAGATGCTACTGATGATGACACCCCAAGTACCTCTGGACGGCAATTTGCAGACTCTCATGTTTCTCAGGTTTTGCTCTTTAACTTTTTTATCTGGCTAAACCATACCGATCCATCTGAAGTAGTATAATTGGGAATATCTCCAGATTGAAACTCCATATCATCCGGAATCAACTGCCAAAACAAAAACCATTATCAATAGAGATGCAGAATACACATATGGCATAATCAGTTAATCACATGTCAAGGACATAAAGTACGAACAACTAAAGACTCCCAATTTTGTAATCCATCCTGCAAAAAATGAATACTGGAACGTTTTCTACAGAGATTGGTCCAACCCTAAAGAATTATGTTTAATATATGTAATAAGTTTCTTGTGAGTAATATGCTGTTTTGTTGCATTAGATAAAGAACTTATTTAATTTATCAAATTTATGTTTCATTTTATTTTGTATTAGTGTCTTGCTTTATATGTAGCTTGTTAAGTGTGTGAAAGTGGAGTTCCTAAGTTCCTCATTTGTAAGCTTCACCACACATCAATTGCCAAGTTTCAAGAAGTAAAGCATTTCCAAAAAAGGAAAAAAAAGGGAAACAAAACATGTTAGCTCTTCCATGTCAATTGCTAAACACAGTAGTTAATTCAATCAAAGGAGTTCTATTTTTCTTGTTGGACATAGATGTGCTTGATGAAAACACTAAATCCTTAGACCCTGGAAATTTCATCAAGGTACAGAAAATTCAAGTTTGCATCAACAATAGCTACAACGTAAGCAATAAACAAAAAATCAAAATGCATTACGGCCAAGCAAATTGACATCTCACAGAGGGCATGGCTTAATTTAACAAATCATCTATTAACTTTCATATTCTTTTCAGTTTCATCTATTATCTTTGAATTCTTTCAATTCTGTCTATTAACTTTCACATTTATTTCAATTTCATATATTCTGTTATCGTTAACAGAAATCTTCTTATAATTAGTTAGCCCTCTAACTATATTTTTTTGATCTTTTAGTCCTTAAATTTATATTCACCATGAAAATAGTTTTATTCTTATCTTACTAAATGTGTTTTTCAGAAAACTGTTTTACAAGGTTAACTTTATGCAGTTCGTTCTGTAAAATTATTTAAATGCCTTTAATTTATTTTTATATTATTTTTCAGGGGCATTTAAATAATTTTACAATGCAGACTGTATACAGTCCGTCCTGTAAAACAGACTTACTCTTGAAACTTCTCGTTCTAAACTTATTAAGCTTCTCTATTTGAATTGAGCTAGTTGCTTAAGTTTATTACAAATTCTAACTAATCTATCTCTATAAAGTAATTCTTGAGTCATTATATTTTATCAGGATTATAGTGTCACTTTTTCAAAATTTAAAGGACTGCTCTTTTCTGTTAGATTTAACAGAAATTTTGTATGGTAGACTATTTTGAAATATTCTCTAAAGTTTATAGACCATTTAGAAAGAAAACAAACTTTCTAGACTCAAATGAAATTAAACTGATAGTTAATAGACTAATTATTGAATTAAGCACAAAGGGCATAGATTTGAATGGAAAAATGAAAATGCTTGTCACAAGATGAATATAGCAATCCTCTTGGAGCAGAAACCTTATTAAAAAGGGAAAAATACTTACATGGTTTGAAACAAAAATTTGAATAGGTCCAGCCTCTGCAAAGAATCCCATCTGTAGGAATCACAAATGCAGTTATCGGTAAAGCAGTAGAAATCCATGGTTCATAAGATAATCTTATCATTAAGTCAGGAGAGTAGCAAATAGAAAACAGCTGCCTTGTTGACCATAGTCACAACAGCTTCTAAGATCTCGCCTTTAAATGGTCTAAAGACAACACATTGATACTTCACAGGGAATGTTACAAATCCTGTACCATCGCAAATCAGGCCTTTCCCAATATTCTCCTTAAAACTAGAGTTTTATTAAGTATATTTTAAGAAATTTATATATTAAATTGCACAGCTTATTTTTATAATTAATTAATTTATAAATGAAGATTACAAGACTAAGTGTCCTATAAATAGAACATGTTACTTGCTCAAATAAGAAAGTTCCTCTATGTTCTTTACTTTCATACACTATTTTATTTTTTTAAATATTCTTGGGTAAAAAATGTGTCTTGAATTAAGTTACTTTATAGATAGTATAGATTTATAGAACACTATTATAAAACTGTAGTATTGTAGGATGGCATGCTATGTATATTTTTCTGCTACGCGAGTAGATCTCCTATCTATAGAGGTGTGAAACATGTAACTTAAAGCAACTAAGCTTTTTATGTCTATTTTGATGATATTTTTTTTATTGATATTTCCTTAATAGGTTCACTAATTATCAATTTTATTGATTTTGTTTTGTCAAAAAAGTTATTGATTTTGTAATTGAGATACAACAATGACATGATGTAAAAATAAAGGAAAATATTTGAGAAATAACAATTTCAAAATGATTCAGTCCGCATAAAAAATAAGTATATCTTGCTTATCTAACTCTTTTTGATACTTAATGAATGTTCCCTTGAAATTAACCATACTTGAGAGATATCGAGATCAGATTTGGGCATGTAGTTTAATTACTTGGCTATGTTTGTATGGATGGGACTAGTAGTTTGAATTATATGTTTTCATTGAAATGTTGGTATGATATTTATAAAATATATTTTCTAAGACCTAAATAAGTAATGTAATACTTAATTGGTGACATATTTCCTATAGTTAGAAGAAAGTTTTCGAAATGTAAATGTTTTGATCTATCATTTTTTTTATATTTAAATTTGCTAATGCAGGTTTGTAGTCTCTAAGTATGTATGCTGCATTATAATTACTGTATAATTTAAGAGCATTAATATTCCTCATATCAAAGCAGCTAGCACTCCTAAAGTTCATATATTTATAAAAAAAAAAAAATTGAAATTATATGCTTTATTGAGAAGCTGCTCCTAAACTTCATATATTTATACAAAAAAAATTGAAATTATATGCTTTGTTGAGTTTATCAAAAAAAGGTATGAGATCAGTTCCATATAAATTTTTTTCTTATATAGATGGTCCATGCATTTTGACAAAAATTATTATAAAATTTTGGTTGGTATATTGCGGATATGTAATCTAACTTTTTAGACTTGTTGTGTGTGATCAATTATATATGAAGTGAGCCATTTGTGATGATAATATATGAAATGAGCTAATAAGTTCTTATAAAAAAATCTTATGAGAAAATAGTTTTTTTTTTTTTTTATAAACTCAATTATTTGATAAATGTAAAATTCACATATTTGAGATATTTCCACCATTGGAGATTGCATATGGATGGAGAAATTTTTTAAAAAGACATGTGATATATGCATTCCTATTAGACCAGAATGTACAATGGTGCTCAAGTGAGCAAATGTAATATGCACGTCTATTATACAATTATGGTATAATAGTGCATGATTAAAATAAATAATTATTAGGCTTCTTACTTGAACAAAAGGGATATATCATGTGAGACAATCCTATTGCATGATTGAATACAATAATGTCTAAATTAAAAGGTAAAAAAAATACACATATTGCTACATGTTATGAAATGAACCAAATGGTGGTTACTCACTTAATACTTTGACTTTTGAAATCATAGCAATGGATTAATGAGAATTTATGAAAATGGAAGTGATGCATTTAAATGACCTAGTGAAGATTTGTGGGTGGTGTGATTGAAAAAAAAGATTAAATTTTTAGCCCCTACTGTACCACAAACTAGGCAATAGGTAAAAAGTCAAAGGAAAGACTATGGGCATGGTCCAAGATCTAGGGTAGGGTACATGAAAGGGCTAAGACTTGGCCTATAAAACCTAGAATCTCCCTTAGGATACCCAACTCATAATTAAAATTTTGCATGCAATAATTTTTGGAGACTTATATCAGGTAATATTTCTTGAAAAATAGGTTCAAATGACAAAAATGAATTATAGGGAGATTATTTGTGAAAATATATCACTCGAGCTTCTTGCTCAAGTGTCCATCCCTAAGGTTTAAATGTACCTATCCTACAATCTTGCATGGTTGAGTTCTAAAACTCTTAATAAACTTGTAGCTTGTTTCACGTGGAGTGTCTGAGTTATGGGGGCAATATTGATGGATTTCATCTATGTGGGTGCCATAGTAAAGTCATTTCTATATAAATTGTATGCGCAATTTTCTAAATTACCCATGAAAACTGGGATCATGCTCAATGCCATATTATGCTAGTTGTATGAAAAACTCAACACTTGGATCATTATGTGTGATGCGATTTTTGTATCCTTTTATACATCATAGTTCAATATTTAGTACACTGTTAACTTTGGAATATGAATTGTTGACTCACTAAATAAAATTTCAAAGCTTAGTTATATTTATTATGCATAATAATACATCTTTGTTCAAAATAAATTGTTCATTTTTTTTTTATTAAAGTAGAGGTAGAATTGTTGTAACTTTTAGCATTTTAATTTAAAATAAAATGTTATATTTTATAAATTAAATTTTATTGTCCTTTTAAGCACTACTTAGGTGTTAGGCATTAGCGCTTTTGTGCAACTTTGTTAAATTTAAATAAAAATTTTGAGAATTTGTATAACTCTAATGAATTTAAGTGTAAATATATCCATAACTCAAGTATAGTTCTCAGCCTCAATCATGCCCTAAACAAACTCCTTGTTTAGTGAAGCAATGTAGTAGGTTTAGATTTGTTTTCATTTAATTTTTAAATTATTTATTTAATGATCTATATTTAAAATAATTTTGTAATTATTATTAATGCAATAAAATTATAATTTTTTTGATTAAAAGAAATGGTATTTTTTTTACTAATTAAAATTACCATCGATCTTCTTGAAGTTTTTTAATCATATATAAACTTGTGCATATTTACGTAATTTTTTTAGCCAAATTACAAATATTATATCCTTAGTTATAAATTTTTAAAAGTACTAGTTTTGATTAATAAAATAAATGTCATATCCTTGATTACAAAAATACTTAAAAGTTTTGTCCTTAGTAGTAGGAAATCTCCTAATTTCAACAATTGAACATCAAATCCTAATAACTGAAGATGAGAAAAGTTTTGTCATGACAACAATGAAGATTTAGTGCTATGATTTAATTTTTTTTGCTCTTATTATGATAAATAATTGTATTAAGATAATTCATTGTGTTCTTTATATACATTTTTGTTCAAAATAAATATCTAATATCCTGTCATTGTGATATTTGTTGTTTTGATAATGTTCCTGGGCCTTGCTCTAGTCTGGTTTTGCATACTTTATACAAGGGTTTTAAAGAAGTCAGAAAGTAGCCAGAAAGATTAACCAATTAAGTCTCATCTAATCAAATATGGCATTTGTATGCTAAAAGGTGGTCTATTTGTAATGAAGGAAGAGAATAATAAACATTAACTTAGTTTCTCTTTCATTGTAATCTTCAATTAATATATGAACTTTTTCCTTGGAATGAATACCAATTCACAAACAAGAGAGAAGAGCAAAAGCAGAATCCTAAAAGAAACATTATACGTCTTAATCCTAGTGTCAAAGGCAGTGGGAACCAAACACATGTATATGCCTATCTTTGATTGGTCAAGTCTTGATGATCATAAATAATTAATTTGAATTGCTTTCCAACTAATATTGATGCAGTTTGGAAAAGACTTTGTTTTCGCTTCTAGCTTTACTTCTTGTTCTTTATAATGTCTAAAAGACTCAAAAGAATCATTGCATTTGCAGTGTTGATTCCACTTACTAGCTCTTCTTCAGCGTTAGTCAATGAAAATCAGTCGCATTAATTTAAGATGTTTCCTTCTAATTGCTTTCTTAGAATCAATTCCTAGCTAAACAAAAAATTATGTTATTATGCATATTCTATGGTTAATGATGATCCACTAGTCTCTTCTAATATTATATGAAGGTCATAATGAAAAATGTTTGCTCTGTGCTCATCCCACTACTCCTGTTATAATGCAAGTATTCGAAATTTTTTTTTTAAAGGCTCTTCTCAAATATGCTAAAGGTGTTTAGCAAATGTTAAAAAACATTTGTTTTAAAGTACTACTTATAAGTTTGAAATTTTGTTTAAGGGAAATTTAAAAATTGTTTTTTAAAGTGAATATTAATCAAGTTTTGAAAAAATTTTAGATGTATAATTTTTTAAAAATTAGTCTAAAATAAATTTAAATAGTTAATTGTAAGTATTTCTCTCTAACAAAATTTTAAATTTGTGAGAAAAATAATACTTTTTAAGTTTTACCAAACACCTTCACTAATCGATATTGAGTTCAAGAGATGAAAGAAGAGAATAATAAACATGAACTTAATACGCATTAACTTAGTTTCTCTTTCATTATAATCTTCAATGAATATATGAACTTTTTCCAATGGAAAGAATACCAATTCACAAACAAGAGGGAAGAACAAGAGAAGAATCCTAAAAGAAACATTATACGTCTTAATCTTAGTTTGAAAGGCATGAACAAGGAGTAGGAAAAAGTTCAGGTCGGAAAATGCTCACTGTACTTAGAATGAGTCCAAATTCTCGGTACCATCTGTCTTTAATTCTTATAGCTGCTTGCCGAAAGTAGATTAATTAATTCATTTTCCTAATCTGCAGATGTTAAAAATATCATAAGCTGATTGTCGAATAAACTCTTAATTCTTTGAGTACTGATAGAGTTTAAAAGTGTTTTTAGTTTTGCTAATTTTTTCATCTTATAATTTTTTTCTCCTAAATAGTATATTAAAATATTTAGACCTGTACGTAAATTTTAAACTAATATGAGCTAACATTTATCACTATCAATTGATATAGAAAACACCAAAGTAAACAATGCCAAACTTTAAGAAAGGTAGGTTGAAAATCCAAGGTGGCAACATGCCATTAAGTAAGTTATAAGAAAGGAAGAGATCGTGAAGTTGTGTGAGGGTTGTAAGTGATGATGGGATTTGTCTGTTAAAATTGTTAGAAGAGAGGTGCAGGTTAGTAAGTTGCCTTGAGTTACCTATGGAAGCTGGAATGGACCAGAAAACTGATTATTAGAAAGGGTAAGAGAGGTAAGTTGGTGAGGTTTACGAGTGATGATGGGATTTGTACGTTAAGATTGTTAAAATATAGGTATAGGCTAGTAAGGGTGTGTTTGGTGTAGCTTTCAAATGTTTTAGTTTTTTTGATAATATTTATGTTTTATAAATTTAAATTTTTTTTAAAAAAATTTATATTTT